CAGCGCGCGGGAGGCAGAGGCAGGTGTATCGCTGTGAGTTCGAGGCCAGCCTGGTCTCCAGAGTGTGTGCCAGGAAAGGCTCCAAAAGCCACACAGAGAAACCCTGTCTCGAAAAAACCAAGAAAGAAAGAGAAGGACACAGCCCCAGGGCCTGGAGTTAGTGCTCCCAGCTCTTGCTGAGGTCTAGGAGGGTCCCCAGTGCTCATGGTATTGGCTCCGAATGACCTGGAAATAGCTCTGGAGAGTCTGTACTAATGTGCACAGACACACACACACCTAAGTCTGTATTGGGGGATGGTGAAATGGGTTCTCTGTGTAGCCCTGTGTGTCCTAGAACTCCCACGCTGGCCTCAAACTCACAGAGATCACTTGCCTCCCAAGTTCTGGGATTAAAGGCGTAATTAGATCTGTCCATATTAAAATCTTATTACAAAAAAAAAAAAAAAAGCTCAAGTTGAAGCTTTGGGGCTTGGGATATGAGGCACAGGGAACCACGGGACACGTGGTGGTGGTGGTGGTAGTGGTGGTGGTGGGACCAGGACTGGGCCTCCCTGGATAGTGTTCTTTCCCATGAACAAAGCCCTGGGTTCCATCGCCAGCACTGAGTAACTGGGATGTGGTGACACACAGCTGTCATGCCAGCACTGTGTGTGTGCGTGGGGGGGGATCAGGAGTTGGAGATCACCTCCAGCTACATGTCCCTGTGAATTCAGAGTCCACTTGTGCTGTATAAGACTGCTTCAGAAATGAAACAAAGTAGATTTGGGTTCTTTGGGACCTCCATTTGGAGGAGGCCAAATGCCACAGCATAACACAGGAGTTGGTTGAGGATCAAACTCCGGTCACCAGGCTACACACTGAGCCAGAGTTTTATTTAGCCTGACCTTCTGTCCATATGTTCAGGATGGAGTGTGCATCCTTGTCCCATTTGCTCAGCGCTAAAGCAGTTCAACAGTGTGCTAAATCTCACCTACAAAAAGAAACTCGTGAGGCACAGGCTGCACACAGTGGGCTTAACAACAGTATCCAGCAGGTGCCTGGAAGTGCTGTTGCTGCCCAAGGCCAGTTGAGGCATCAAGGTGGGCTGCACAGCCTGGACAGATGATAGGAGCACGAGCTCTTTCACCTCAGCCTCTGCGCTATTGGGATGGTGGCAGGGCTAGTGGGTGCCTGGGGTGGGAAGAGAGGGCAGAAAAAGAAAGCCAACCGCAGGGGTGAGGAAGTAGCTCCATATCTGTGAGTGTTAGGTACAAAGAACAAAATGGTGATCAAGAAGGAATGTCCTCAGCCGGGTGTTTGTGGCGCACGCCTTTAACCCCAGCACTTGGGAGGCAGAGGCAGGCGAATATCTGTGAGTTTGAGACCAGCTTGGTCTTCAAGAGCTAGTTCTAGGACAGCCTCCACAGCCACAGAGAAACCCTGTCTCGGGGAAAAAAAAAAAAAAAAAGGAATGTCCTCACATGGAGACAGCCAGAGCACAAATGCTACCATTCATTCTCCCTCGACGGCCGGACGCGCAGCTACCACCCATACCTGCATGCATGCACCATTCATCGGCCATCCACCCACCTGCTAATGCACACATGCAGATGTCCATCTGTCCTTCCGTACACCCACCCACGGAGCACCTCCATCTCAGACACTCCACTTGGGTTGCAGGTTATCATGGGAGAATCCTAGACCCATTTCTGCCCCAAATGGCTCAGCCTGGTGAAGCAGGATACATCCCTGGTCTAGAGACTTCAGCTCTGCACAGGAGATGCCCAGCTCTGAATTGAGGGACTGGGGTTAGGGCAGGCTGTCTGGAGGAGTGGCCATTGGATTTAGGCCCCTTGTGTGTAAGGGACACAGGAGGAGTCTCTGAATGTTGTGTGCCCAGCTAGAGAGATGGGTATCAGCGGGACTCAGGGGACTTGTTTCCCACTGGCAGGGTCTAGTGGGCTATAATAAGTCAAGGGCATTGGTTTTCGAGTGAGGAGGATAGGCACAGGGTGAAGTGAACTGATACCTCCCTGCAGACCGGAGAGACAGAGCACCTTGGGGAGAATAGGGTTTGGCGCTGAGGGCTCTGAAGGGTTACACCTGCCCCGTCTGGAAAGAACACAGCTACAGTGCCATGGGGTCATCCTGAGCCCTGCCAGGCGCACACAGCATCTCATCCATCTGCTGGATTGCTCTGCAGGTGGTTGGGGATATGGGACATGGGTGCAGCCAGAGCTAGAGTGCGCAAGATTTGAGGTTGTGAGTCAAGTGGAGAGGAAGTCAGGTGTCACCCCAACCAGCTGAGGCTTCAGGGGTGCCCCTGCACCAGCCCTGTACACGGCTCCTTATGGCTTACAACTATTCCTCTCAAATAAACCACAAGAGAGAGAAGGCACAAATATGTCGCCACCAATCTATTCAGGAAACGGTCCTGAGCAGGGGCTGATGCTCAGCAGTCAAGGTGCTCATAATGGACGAGTGGAAAGACCAGAGCTCAGACACCCAGAACCCATGTAAATACTGGGTGCACTTCTAGCCTGGGAGGGAATCCCAAAGCCAACAGGCCAGAGACAGATGGGTGGGGGCAGGGCTCAGGCTTAAGAGTGCTTGTAGCTCTTCCAGAGGATGTGAGTTCAGTTCCCAGCACCCACCGTGGGAAGGAGGCTCACACCACTTAAATAAAGCTCTAATGATTAGATGGCCATCAGGGGCACTGACACATAACCACACATATACATGCAGAGAGAATCTTTTTAATATACAAATGTGGTGGCGCACGCCTTTAATCCTCGGGAGGCAGAGGCAGGCAGATCTCTATGAGTTCCAGGCCAGCCTGATCTACAGAGTGAGTTTCAGGACAGCCAGGGCTACATAATGAGACCCTGCTTCAAACAAACAATAAACCAATTCAGAGTGCTCGGTTGGCAAGGTTCACCTGACATGCAGGAAACTGTGAGTTCTAGCCATAGCGCTTGGGATGTGGAGGCAGGAGGATCAGGAGTTCAAGGACATGCTTGGCTACAAAGTGAGTTTGAAGACCACTGGGGCTATTTGAGACCCTACCAGAAGAATGGAGAGAGAGAAAAAGAGAGAGAGAGAGAGAGAGAGAGAGAGAGAGAGAGAGAGAAGAAAGAAAAAAGGAAGGAAGGAAGGGGAGGAAGGGAGGGAGGGAGGAGGGAGGGGAAAAACTCTCAAAAACCCTAAGTCACATGTATACACTCAGTTCAATCCCTCCTGCCCCCTAAAAGGCCCCTGAGTCCTCAGGCCTGATCCTCTGTCCCACTTCCTTTGTGGAACCACCGTCACTTGCAGCCCAATGGGCTAATCAGAGACCCTCCCTTGTGGTCAAGCCCCCCACTTGATCCCAGGTCCCCATCCTGCAGGTGTGGACAGGGCCCAGCTCCAGTCCCTGGCCTCAGGAGAAGGGGCTTGTGGTGTGTGGCCATTTGAGAGGGTGGTGCCCTGTGCAGGTAACTCCCACCTGTGGTAAGCCCTGCCCCTCCTTGCCCGCCCAGCTCAGCTCTGGCTCCTAGGTGTCCAGGTGTCTGCTGCAGCTTAAGCTCCGCTCAGCTGGAAGGCTGGAACTCGGTGAGCCGGGGTCCCCGCAGGGCTCAGATTTCCCTTGGGAAGATGGGGTATGCAATTTGCAAAGTTCTGGGGTGTGAGGGTGCACCGTATATGGGGGTGCATGTGTAAGGGTTGAGAGGTGGGGTGTCCTTTGAAGACAGTAGAACTCGGGAGCTGCCCCTGGGCAGAGTGGGAAGAGCAAGGGCTGAAGAAACGAATCTAGGTCAGGTGTCTTCAGTGAGGGTGCACAGATAAGGCTAGGTACAGGATTAGGGACTCCACGCACCAAAACCTTCCCATGTCCACCCCAGCTTTCCAGTCTCTTTCTCCATGGTAGAACTGAGATGGGCTGGGTGGCTCAGAGGCCTCCCAGTGGGTCTAGAGAGCATGCAGAACTGGATGTGGTGGCTCACACCTTTAGTCCCAGCACTCGGGAGGCAGAGGCAGGAGGGTCTATAAAGTGAGTTCCAGGACAGCCAGGGCAACAGGGTGAGATCCTATGTCAACAGAGAAGGAGGTGGAGGTGGTGGGGGGAGTTGAAAAAGTTTGTGGTCATAGGGTGTGACATTGAGGGGGTCCTATGTGCCCCAAGAAAGTGCTTTTATTATTTTTTTTCTTTTTTGGATGTGTGACAGGGGGACTATACAGGAATGATGGCTGTTTAGGGGCTGGTGGTTCACACTGGACCTGGTCAGAAATCACTCGTGGCACCCATGCATGGGGCTATGCTTAGGGTCCTTGAAGGCTGGAGTCTCTCATCCCCTTCCCTTATCCACCAGGTTGCACTGAGGCTCCTGGACCCTCCCTGGGCAGATCTGTGCTTTAGGGATAGCCCAGCCCTGCCAGACTCCAAGGAAGGGCCGCTGGGGGGACTTGGGCCAGCAACTCTGCCCCCAGGCTATGTGTTTGACAAATGCTAGTCACCTCCTTGCTGGTCTCCAAATGCCAAGCTGGAGCCTGCGCCGTGCCATGTCATGTGGTCCAGATTGGC